AGATGGAAGGATGGATGGATGGATGGATGGATGGGTAGATTGGATGAATGGACAGGAAGATGAAAGGATGGATAGATGGAAGGATGGATGGATGGGTGTATGGGTGGATGGATGGATGGGTGGGTGGATGGGTGGACGGATGGATGTGTGAGTGGATGAATTGATGGATGGATGAATTGATGGATGGATGGATGAATGGACAGGTAGATGAGTGGATGGATAGATGAAAAGATGGATGGATGGATGGATGGATGGATGGATGGATGGATGGATGGATGGATGAATGGACAGGTAGATGAGTGGATGGATGGATGGATGGATGGATGGATGGATGGATGGATGGAGCTGAGAGGTACTATAGCCCTGAATGAAACAAGCAATCCTGGGCCTTGACTTCAACTTGCTTTGTTCCCAGGTTATTACTGTTCTGATTCTGGTGACCCTAGACTGCTGCCCACTCCCAAAAGGGCCCATAGGTTACATACGTAAGACCCGGGCGCCATGTCTCAGGGCCTGCACCCTGCCAGGCTCGATGGACAGGTTGAACGTAGTTTGCTGGCCCCTGACGGTGCAGACCTGGCCCTGTTCGGCTGCCTGGCGTACCATGACAGTCAGCTTGTTGGCGATGATAGAGTTCAGGACTGAGATGACAACCATGGGAAACACGAAGGAGACGAAGGTGTTGACCTGCAGGAGAAATGGCGGTTATCAGACCTCCTGCTGTGTCTGCCTAGGTTCCCACGTGGGAGATGTTGCCTTCCAGACCTGGACACCTGGCACACTGACAACAGCTGATTCTGAGACTGGGGTGGGCAGTCAATGTGAGCATAGAAAGTTCTTTCTATCTGCCTACCACCCATCTCCAAACTACAGGTTCCACCTGCCTCGCCCCTGCCCAGAGGAGGTGTGTTTGAAGACTCTGGCCACGTCGGGGAGCCCTTCTGCACAGGGTCTGTCTGCATAGGGTGTGGAGTACAGGGTGGAACACAAATGCAAGATGTTCTGGCTGTGGGGAGGGGCCACGGGCTCTAGGCCCCCAGGTCTGGACACAGCACACCCGTGAGTGTATGGCTGCTCCCCTCCACCCTCTCCAGTCAGACACTCGGACATGCTCACCCTGCACCCCAGGGGTTCAGATGGCAACACACATTCAACCGTCTGTGTCAGGCTCCACTTCATCTTCTCTCAGAGCACAGAAAGGGGACGCTCTTGTCAGCACCTTGGGTCTGCCCGCCCCCATACCTCTAAGCTAACTGTTCACTCATTCTGCGGTGGAAAAACTGTAGCTAGCCCAAAGTTACTCATCAGTGACTGGGCTATCTCTGGCCTGTCTCAGTCTGAGCCTGTCTCCTTGAGTTTGCTGTTGCAGGCACATGCTTAGCCAGGGTCCATGACTTTGCTGGAAACAAGAGAGAGGCCTCTTCAGTACATGGATCATCAGTGGACAGCTGTCCTCAGCAGGGACTGAGGAAGAGCTGGCTTCCCGAAGCTGGCCCCTCAGCTACCAGTCCCAACAGCACTGACAGTGGCCGCAGCTTCTCCTCCCTCAAACGCTCTCTCCTTCCTACAATGTTTTGATATTTCTGGCTTCTCAGCACATACAGTGTGTGATCTCAAGACTGGGGGGTGAGGGCTGTTCTCTCCACTTCTGCTAAGCTGTTGTTACGACTTTCTGGAATTTCAGATGTTAAGAAACTTGTGGGTATTCAGAGAAGTTGACCATGCTGGCTCAGTGCTCAGTGGCCTGTGGTGTCTGTGGTGATTTTAGTAGGAGGTTCCAGGGGTCTACACTTGAGGCTCCCAGGGATGAGCCTCCATCCCTGTTAACGCCACATCCTGGGTCTGCTGGGGCCTGAGAACAGACTGTGGGTGCATGTTTTCTTGATGGTGATGGTCACCATGGTCCCAGAAAGGACAACCCAGAGCAGCCCAGTAGACACGCTGTTCTCACAGGCTGGGTCCTGTGTCTCTCCCTGGTGAAACCAAGGCCCAGAGGGGTTCTGTAGCTGGTTCTGAGTCCATGAGGGGATGCAGGGCATCATTGATGCAGCAGGAATGGACCCTCCAGACTCATACACTGGGGACCCCTCAGAAATGGGGTAGTGGCCACAGCGGCTCAGGGCAGCCACCAGGCAGTACCTAGGGTTCGTGGCCAGGGGTTTCTGGAACTGGGAGGTCAGGGGGCTCACTCCTTGGAGCTCCAGGTGGCCATCTGTCTGTCTTTCTGGGCACATCTACATCTGGCCAGGACTATACCTCTGAAGGTCCTGCCCACAGCCCTAGTAGCCTTGTGGAAGGGAAGTCCTGGCCCACACTGTGTCCACTTTCAGGTCCTCCTGCAGTTTTGCTAAACAGACGCAGGACAGACACATGGACAGGAGTGGTCCCGACTCCTGGGGGACAGTTACTCCTTCACTGACTGGCCTCAGTGTCCATCACTCTGTCAGCCTCCAGGAACTGACCTCAGGTATGCCTCTGTCTAGTCTCTGTGAGATTGGGGTCCTCAGCCACTTTCTGTGTTTGGGGGCCACCTGCTGTGAGGTCAAGGGCAGGTCTGGAGCCCCCTTTTCCATTCTTGGAGTTCCAGGGGTCCCTAGGGCCAGCCTCAGGAGACAAACCACTCTCCCTGAGTCAGCACAGCAGACTTAAACAGAGCAAATGTCTCCAACACAGATTCTAAATGTCAAAACATTGAAAATACCTCACCTCTCTTGAGCACAGGCAGAGAAAGCAGCTACCTCTGAGGACTGAATGGGGGGTGACAGGGGCTGTGGAGTCTGGCTCGAGGCTTCACTACAGTCCAGGACTTCTGAGCCTCAGGCTGGTTCTGGGGGCTGGCTTGGCCAGGGCCTGGTTATCCGAGGAGCAGGACCAGAACCAGAACCAGTTAGTTGGTCTTGGAGCTGCCCCTGGGCTGCTTCACCAGCGTGTCTCCGCTTAAAGTGAATCTGATCACCGCCGTCCCTGCATACTCCCTCTGGTTCCCACTGTGTTCAGACTAAAATGTAACCTCTGCACTGGGCTTGGAGGTCTTGATGCCCCTGCCCTGACTCCACACTCGGTCATGCCGGCCTCATGCTGACCCCAGACTGTTGAACCTCTTCTCACCACGAGGCCTTTGCCTGACTGTGCACCCCAAAGGTGCCGCTGTTCCTTTCGGGTATTTGTTTCCTGTACACTGTTGCCCCAGTATTCAACTGTTGAGGGCAGGGCCAAGTTCCTCAGATGGCCTGGGTGCAGGGTCCTTGTAGGGCTGGACAATGACTTGGGCCGGTCTGTGCCCAGATCCTGTGTCCCTGTGCCTGCCGCCAGCTCCCAGGACAGTTCAGCATCTCACCTGGTCCAGATGCCCTGGGACATGTTTCCTTACTGTGGAAGCAGCTCTGTCCACCCACCTCACCCACGTCCATCCTGCAGGGGTTCACAAAGCTCCTCCCCCTTGGCTGGGGGCTTGGCCAGGGCCAAGGCTTGAGCCCTTTGCTCACCTTCTAGGAATGCTGGCTGGCTGTTGGTTTGCTGTTACATTTTAATCCTCCACACACAAAACCCAGGGTTTTGCCTGTGTGGGCATGCTGAGGTACAAATTGAGGAGTAAGAAATCCCAATGCCCTGGCCTAGAGCCAGCTGGTCTCTGGGTGGCTCCCCCAGTCTTGGGCTCAGAGGCAGGTCTGTCAGTAGGACCCTCCAGCCCGGGAGGCCTCCCAGGGAATCTTGCTCCCCTGATCTAGTTGTTTCACTTTTGAGGAGGCCTCTGCTGATCCCAAGTCTGAACCTGAACTTGCATATAGGCAGGGCCCCACGGAGCCTAAGCGTGCTCAGGGTCCCACCTTGTCCACATGAGACCCAGGGCAGGGCCAGTACCTTCTCCCAGCCTCATTCTAAGATGAGGATGACACCGTACTTAGCTAAGTGCTTAAAGGAAACCACTGATGCTTGACTACCAACCTAAAGGTCAGCAGTTCAAACACACCCAATGGCTCTGTGGGAGACATGCTGTGTGAGCTGTGGGGTTTTTCTATGATCACACAGGGTTGTCATGTTGGAATAGCTGTTTGTTTTTTCTGTAACAGGATGCATACTCAACAGTTGTTAAGTGCTGTTGAGTTGTTCCCTGTGTGGGGTTTCTGAGGCTTTAAATCTTTACAGGATCAGAAAGCCTTGATTTCGGGGAGCATGCAGGAGGCAAAGAAAGGTGCTTGTGGGGGGGGAGGGGTGGCTCCCAGGCTGTATGTGGCCTTTATGGAAGCACACTCCCCCCATGATTGACTGGTGGCTCTAATCGTTGACCTTTTGGGTGACAGCTGAGCGCTTTAATCACTGTGCCACCCCAGGGCTCCTCTTTGTCTTTGTTCCGGGCCTGTTCCTCAATCATGAATCCCATTATGCTTAGATGAAGAATGAGTCTCCAGACTTGTGGGTCTTCACAGGCAGGCTGCTTGAGTGGGAAGGTGCAAAATACTGCTCAGGATGTTTGCAAATCCCAGTGGTGTCTCTCGGCAGCTCCGGAGGTGGCTGAGGGGGAGAAACTTCCCACACATATCCTCTCTAACCTTTCCCACGTGGTGGCTCCTAGCTCAGGGTCCATCTCCCTTTAATGTCCCACTCCAGATGAATCAGATGTGCCTCTATGGCAGCAGGTGCAGACCTGGGCTTTCCTTCAGTCTCCTGCCCTCTTTCTCGGCAAGGCCAGGGCTCAGATGCCATTCATTCCAGAAGTTTTCCACCTTCTGGTGATTCAACACAGCCAGGCTCAGGAAGACTTCTGTGCCTGTCATCCACACCATGGGCCTTCATCCTCCCATAGGAGCACAAGGCTGAGCAACACCAGAAGGCTGGGATCAGGAGACAGTGCTGCCTGTGCACATCCTCGATGTCTGCCCAGGACAGTGTTGGTAAGAACAGAACCACTGGCAATGAGGTGGCAGGGGAAAGGGCAGAGTATCCGGGGCGTCTCAGAGTATGTGCTCCTTTTTTTCTCTTAGAAAAATGTAGACAACACAATGTTGGCCAATCAGTGTGTGGTCCAGTGACGCCAACCATGTTCAGTGATGCCATGCATGTTGTGCAACCATCACAAATACCCCAAACCCCAAACTCACTGCTGTCCAGTTGATAATAACCCTGTATTGTCATTACTGATACCGACTCATCGTGACCCTGTGCACAACAGAACAAAACACTTGCGGATCCGGTATCGGCTCACAATCATTATTACATTTGAGCTCACTGCTGTAGCCATTGTGCCAACCCATCTTGTTGGGGGTCTTCCTCTTTTTCTCTGACCTTCCATTTTACCAAGCATAATGTCCTTCTCCAGGGACTGGTCCCTATTTATAATGTGTCCGGAGTATGAGAGAGGAAGTCTGGCCATTCTAACTTCTAAGGAGCATTCTGACTATACTTCTTCCAACACAGATTTGTTCTTTTGGCAATCCAAGGTATTTCTAATATTCTTCATCAACACCATAACTCAAATGCATCAATTCTACGGTCTTCCTTATTCACTGTCCAGCTTTCACATACATATGAGGCTCTTGAAAATACCACGGCTCGGGTCAGGCACACCTTAGTCCTCAAACTTTTTGCTCTTGAACAAAATCTTTGCTCTTGAACACTTTAAAAAGGTCTTGTGCAGAGATTTGTCCAA